ATTTATCATAGGAAGGCATAGAAATAATGTAACATCTTAATTGTCTGGTGTCTTGACAACTATTGGGAAGATGCTGCTCTTGAAACATGAGGTTTTTATCGACTGGGATCTGAGTTGTCTGTCGGGGCAAAGCAACTGGAACTGGTCGTGCGCTATGTGTGATGGGGAGGATGAGGGAACCTTGTTGGACTTCAGGAAGGGGAGAGGTCAGTGACAGCGACCTGAGAGGCCTTTTAAATAATGTCACATTAACCTTGTCTGGTAGCCTGTGCTACCTGGAGGACATTAGGATGCTGGTAATGATGCATTTTCTAACAGTTCTGTTCTTTCATGTGCCAGGGATAAAAAAAATAAAAACTTTTAGGGGGAAATTTCTAACAAAACATGCTGAGGTTAATTAACTTTGAGGGTGTGTTAGATTGTGTATAGATTTGAATGGGTGTAAGATTTTGGGGGTAGAAACTAAAATTACAGTCACCCCAACAGATGACAAAAAAAATCCACAAATTACAATCCATGGTGCTGGCTAGTTAAACATTTATTAGTGAAATGCCAGTGCAGAGCAATAACGTATCTTGTAAATAACTATAGCAAATGATCTTGATTATTTCCTCTAACTTTTGAGAAGATTTACTGTGGGAAAAGAATCCTGCCGGCAGTGACCTTTGAACTCCCAGCAGAGAAGCTTTGCAAATGCACCCTGTAACCATCCCACAAACACCCCAGCTTCCCCACCCACCTCTTTTTTATCCAAGAGGCACTTCAAAAGACGCTTCATATCTGGAGCTTTCCGGAAAGAACAGGCGAGCGAACGCAAGTTATGGCATAAATGCAAATTTTTCAAATTACACCAGCCATGCTTAGTTGCCAGTGGCAAAAGCACGCACATGAGCACACAGCATTAGTCACGGAAACGTCTGAGGAACCACGAAGTTTTGGTTTGGCTCAGCTGTTTAGGTGTGAACAAAATGGCCGATTCCCTCGTATACTTGAGACAAGCTGAGAACAGTGATCTTGATGTGCGAATGACTTTCACAGTATATGACAGTGGGGTGACAGAAAGGCCTTCGTCACACCATTCTAAGCCAAAGGCCTGAGGCCATCTTTTTTTTTTTTTGAAGGTCTGCAATGAAATAAACAGGACATCTAGCTTTCATCATGTAACATTAGTACATCACTGATATCTATGCCAACTGACTCCTTGAAATTCCACACGTTGGGAATTTAATTCCAATTCCACCTGTTTGCATGTACATCCCTCTTAACAGGCTAATCTGTCATCGAATGGTAATATTTTACTTTTAATACTCACTTCCGGACATATTTACAACCTGGTTCTGTTTCAGCGAGTCCACAATAGTCTTGGGACAGATGTGAAGTTTTGTAGTATTTTTTACCTTTCAAAAAACATGCAATGCTTCCTAAATTGCTTTTGAACACTTATTTGTCAATGGGTAATATTAATTTTGGCGAACAATAGAGCCCTTTATATGAATTAACATTCATGCATGTAGTGCAGCTATTTTAAGCTCTAAACTTTAAATTGCACTGGACATAATAATGATGAATAAATATTAATGCATTTGTAGATAGAGGGTTTCCATAGGTTAAGCACAGCTTTATATTTTAATCTATAAATATGTAACATATTATCCAGGAAGGGGACAATTTAAAAAATTTTGACCAGACTTTATATGAATTTTGTTATATAAAGTTTGACTATGAAATGGCATCAATCAATCATTTAAATTATTTTTGTTTCTTTAAATTGCACTCTTTTATTGTGTTTCATTGAGAAGATCCAGGCTCTCAAGACTGAGCACGCTGCTACTACTTTGTAAATATTTGGTTGCTGCCTTTGGTTTCTGAGAAACTAATGACTAGAGGCAGAGGCGTAAAGGCACTTAGCCGTGTGTCCTTTTGTTTTTTTAGAAACTATAGATTAACCCACCATAATGCCATGCAATATCACTTCCAAAGCTCATGTTACTTTGCTTTTCGGAACTGTCTAGTCTGGGGCTAAGCTGAAACACTAACATGCTCCATCTTATTGAAGAGACGACCTTCAGAGAAATGAAGGGTAGAAGAAAAACAGAAAACGCAATAAAACCGTGTTAAAATAACAGAGGAAGAAAGTTGTCTGGACCTTATTTCATCACCATTATATCACTGTCACAGGAGTATTTAGATTGCATTCTATTCTTATTTCATATTACAGTTAGCAAGGGAGATTTTTTCCATATATGGGATGAAAGTAGACCTACAAATGATAAAAAAATTACCCTTCCTGTTCCTCTGTTGGTCTCCCTTCACTGTGAATGAGGCCTTGGGGTATCTGCAGAAAGGTGAGTGACATGATTGGAATTATGCCCATGAAACCTGTAGCTGGCTTTGCTGAGAGCTTTTGTCTTTGGAAACCATAGTATGTAATTCAAAGCTTCATGGCTGATTCTAAGTAACTCTAGTGTCTTGTTCATGATTATGGACCATTACTGGACTTTTCCCATTGGCTGAGTTACAGCCATGGATATGAGACTACAGCACAAATTTTTGTTTCACTCATTTCTCTTTTTTTTCCCCCAAACTGCAGCCTGGCCCTTCCCTGCTTCTCATCAATGAAGCACTCCTTCCTTGCTTTATGGGACTTAATTCCGGCTTCTAGGAGCCTGTTATGAATTGTCCTGCACTTAATGCTTCCCATTCCTTTTGAAGATCACTTGATGTCATCCTGCAATTCATGAGAAACTATCAGATAAGTTAATGGTCATCTCTGGCATTAGAAAATCTCTTCTGCCCTTTACCTGGCTGGTTTCTGGTCGTTCCCAGTGTCTCCTGATTCACCGTATTCTTTTGTACTACCGTCTTATGTATACTGCTGTCTTACGCTACTTAGCATAACCTTCTGCCAGCAAAACCATGATTAAACCAGGTTTTAAAAATGCAGATTTATATAAAAATATTGACTGGTTTCTTTATTTTTTCCACGGCTGTGTGTATATATATAGTTTTATATAGAAATCCATCATCAAATTCGCGGATGACACCACACTGATCGGGCTCATCTCAGGGGGAGATGAGCCAGCCTACAGAGATGAGGTCCACACACTGACAGAGTGGAGTTCAACAAGCAATTTGGTGCTAAGCGCCACAAAGACAAAGGACGTCATCATTGGCTTGGGGAAGCACAGAGGGGATCATTCCCTACTTTTTGTCAGTGACGTTTGCGCTGGAAAAGATCCCTCTCAACAAATTCCTGTGGACACACATCTCCTGGTCTACTAACCTCTCGACGCCTGCAAACAAGGCACAGCAGCAACTTTCTGAGAGCACTCAGATGGACCAGAAGCTGCTTGCGGCCGTCTGTAGCTCCGCCATCGAATGTGTCCTGGCGTACCACATTACAGTGTGATATGCCAGCTGCTCATCTGCAGGCAGGAGAGCCCTCCAGGGGGTTATTAACGCTGCCCAAAAAACCATCAGCTGCTCTCTGCCATCCCCGGAAGCCATCGCCAGCTCCCGCTGCCTCTCCAGAGCCCACAACATCCTCAGAGATTCTCTGTCCGTCCAGCACACAACTTGCTGGACCTGTTGCCCTCTGGTATGCGTTACAGGTCCATCGAAACACGCGCCTCCAGACTCAAGGACAGTTTCTTTGCTTGGGTTCTAAGATCACTAAAAAACAAAAATAAATCTATGCGCAATATCAATCTTTAGTGATCACAAAACCCAGCACAATATTAATATTCCTTTTTATTTCTTATTCATCCGAAGTATTAATATTTACTACCTGCTATATTAATATTTACTACTACTAATATTTACTACCTGCTTCCTATGGCCTGCTGCTTTTACATGGGCGTATACATACATGGGCGTATACATACAAGTATTTATTTGTATGATTTGTGTTTTTTGTAATTCTTTTATCATCTCTTTTTCTCTTTTCTTTTATAATACTAAACAGATGCCGCACTCCTTCCTTCGTTGTGTATTTAGTATATGATGACAATAATATTTTGCTTCTATTCTATTCTATTGGTGACATGCAAATTTACAGGTCAGAACATGCACAGGCCAGGCGTTTACCCATATCTTATACATACTTTGGTATGCTTATAACAAGCATTCCTGCTTGTTACTGTATCTACCTACTAGTTCAAGGTAAGCAGCCATTGTACTGTTTTAAGTGGCTTTTGCAGTGTGTTTGTGGGTGTGTGCCTTGTGAGGGACTGGCTTCCAGTCCAGGTTGTTTTCTGCATTGCGTGATCTTTCCTAGGATAGACTCTAGACATACCATGACCCATAGCCATTAGAAAATAGATGGATGGATTGAAGGATGCATAGATGTTTCCATAACCATATTCTCCTTGATGTCCTTGAGTCCTGGCTACCATGAAACAATGTTCTCTGCTTATTCTCCATCATAACTGGGGCCAAAAGTAAGACTGATGCGTAATGTCACCTCACCATCCAAGTAGTTATTTGGATCCTAACATGCAGAATGTAAACTGACTTTCCCAGAAGCCAGCTTACAGAACTTTCCAATCTGCCAGAGCTCTTAACACTGCTGGATATCAATGCTCGATATAGCATTTTAAAAGCTGTCTAGACGGTTCTTTGCGACACCTACAAAGAAGTGTGACGTACAACCTCTATGTGGGAGAACAAGCTGCAAACTTTGAAGTAGCCGATGCTGAAGTGAAGATTTGCATTTCTTGGTTCTACCTGGAGGCTCAAAGACTTATATTTGTTCACTACCTGTAAAAATGCCTTACTTCAAGAAAGCAGTCATTTTTAGGCAATCCCCTTGTAGTATGTGTTTGAAAATGTAGTCACAATGTATTTTCAATCAGATAATTAATCTATAAAATAGGCACGTTGCTTTTTATAGATGTAGTGTGGTCATAGAGTAGTTAATTATTTAATTCATTACGCCGTTTCTATCTAATGAGCCTTTTTATCGCCTTACAATAAAAAGTCACGGAAAGGTTCACCCATACCTCGTTATTTCGTGGACAGCTCTTTCTGGGCAAAAACACGCCTCCGACGTCTGATTTCATACGCATGGGCACGCCCTAAAACCACCGCCCCTCCCCAATGCGGAAATCTCGCGAGATTCCACCTCTGGCTGGGACCCACCCCGTGCCGTGATGCCCCTCTGCGGCGTGTCTATATAGCAGTCCGGGGAGCGCTGCTGCTGAAGGAGGAGCTGCGGCAAGGTCGGTGAGCGGAGCATCCCTACGGGCGACATCTCTTGGAGGAAAAGGAGGCGCGTACGGCTATTAGGAGAGGTGCTCGAGGGGGACCGCCCTTCTGCTTTCGGACCTTTGGGCTCCGAGTTTGATGCCGTTTTTCCTCCTCCGAAGAGACGCTTCCTCCGGCGGATGCTGAGCTCCCGCGTAACCCCTTTGTACCCGCATGTTCTGAGGGAGGCGGAGCGGCAGGGACGCCTTTGCTGATTTCCGAAGCTCCCTTTCCCGGCACTTTAGCAGCCAGAGCGCAGTGATACCGGGGGCTTTTTTGGGGGGGCTTTGCGGTACTGGCTGGTCTTTCATTTATCGCTGGTATCAATTCGCCGGGTAGATATTTGCCATGTCAGCGCCATCATATTCATCCAGTCCTCCCCCCTATGAAGAGCAGTCTCCGGCGGGGCAAGGACTGTTCCCGGACACCGGACTCAAACCCGCTGGTCCAACGCCGAGCCAGAGCCGGTTCCAGGTGGATCTCGTGGCGGAGGCGGCCGGCGCGTCCGCCGGGGACGGCGGTGCGGCCGGCGACAAAGCCACCTCCGTGTCCGGAAAGGCACACGATGGATCCGAGCCGGCGACCGGCGGCGAGGAGGCGAAAGGCCGGTTCCGGGTCGTGAACTTCGTGGACCCCAGCGGCGCCGGGAGCCCGGACGCCGTGCCGACGGAAGCCTTCCAGAACGGGGACACGGTGATGAGCGAGGGCAGCCTGCACTCGTCGACGGGCGGCCAGCAGCACTACTACTACGACACGCACACCAATACGTACTACCTGCGCACCTTCGGCCACAACACCATCGACGCAGTCCCCAACATCGACTTCTACCGGCAGACTGCGGCGCCGCTGGGGGAGAAGCTGATACGACCCACCCTGTCTGAGCTACACGACGAGCTGGATAAGGTGCGTCCGGGTGCGCGTGCTGGGCTCCCGTGGCCGGGTAACCTAACCTGGGGACACATGTACAGAGATGCACGCCGCAAAGCGGTTTGCATCTCAAGTCAGCAGGGGCACACCGTGCATGCGCGTGTCCCCATCAATATGCCATCCGAGACCTTCTCTGATTTATTGCATATTTATATCCGATATCCATCAGACCATCGGCCGACTGGCACCGGTCGCTGTCGCCTTTGATCGCACTGATGTGACTTGTTTAGATGCTCGGCTCATGCTTTCATCCTCCCGGGGGTGAATTTGAATGTTTGGGACCGGCTGTCTGTCTTGAATGTGGCGGGGGGCTTGACCACATGACCCTAAGATATGCCCCGTGATGGGAACGATTTTTTTTTGTTTTTTTTGTAGTTGTTCGTACCCTACCTCGCCGCGTTATTTTTGGCGACATATATTGTCGACGCGTAAGATATTACACGGCAACCGCGAAAATGTTCAGCAGTAGGTCAAGTACCAAGAACAACCACCTGCAATGAAGCGCATGTTATACACATCATGTTCGTCTGCCAGGACCTTGAACTCCAGTCATCTGTTTCAATGTCTCTTAATTCACCAGTTATTCCTTGCATGCAACACTTTCTCTGCCGCCGTTACACCCACTGCCTTGGCGCCAGAAATGCAGGATAAGGTTACTCTGTTTTCTGACAAGACAGTACCTCTATAATCCCTTTTTACCTCAGAAGGCACAGGCTCCAAATTAGAGATTGTGATAAGTGATCCTGTGAATGCACGCAGGGGTGGGCACTATGATGCACGTTTGCTTAGTCTCAAATTGCCCGAGTAGTACCTTTTTAATTTGCTTTAATTTGGTCTATTTGTAAAGACTGGTTTGGTAATGCGAGAAGCCTGTGGTGCATGGTGAAGATCGTATTTTTGCCCGCATCCCCCAAACTTCTGGGATTTCATTTTTTAATGTATTTTATTTGTAATGGTGCCGTATTGTCGATTCAGGAGTTTTTGTTTTGCCGGGGGGATGCTCAAGGTCATACATCAGCTCCCAGCCAAAACATATTGGTGTTTGTTTTTGTGGTAACTGGATATGTATATTAAGGCGTGCATTTCAGCTTCTCACATTTCGGAGTAGCTTCAAAGTGGAATAGTCATTCATAGTATTGTATGAAATGTGTAACACTTATTTTCATTCCATTAGGGTATTTGACATTTGTTTAAGCGAAATGTGACTGCTTCGTTTGGTCTGTGGTTTTGACCTGTGACCTCCTGGCCTCTGGTCTAGTTCCTCAGAATCCTCGCTTTCCTATTGAATTGAAAGTGCTGACCGGCATCATATATATTTTAGTGCGTGCGGCTCCGTTTGTCCAAGGTTTTGCCGTCCCTCAATCCACCAGTCTATTCTCTCATTTGTCAGCGTTTGTCACCATTCTTATATTCCTGCAGTTTTTGGTGAGTGTCCCCTTGGTGTCCCCAGCACAAGGTTGGTTTTGCCAGCAGGGACACTTCCGACAGGCACCTGGGAGCCGCCGTGTGTGTCTACATGCCAGTGGCACACAGCCGTGCCAGATGCACCATGCTGGCTCGTCACACTCCATCACATCTTGGCAACTTAATCCATGCACATTTTTTATTAGTGTTCCACCCCCCGCCACCCCCGCTGCTGTGTTTCCACTTTCATGTACAGCGTTTCGGGTTCCTCGGGAATTAAGTCTGCGGTATGTTGTATGCTATTTTCAGAATCTGTCATATTTCAGCTTCCTACAGCTGAGCTTTGCTGTTTTTTTTTTTTTTTTGCTTTTTCCCTGCAGATCTGGGTAAATGATATATGTTGCTTTTGCTCTGTCTCTGATAAAGCTAATATTTACATATGCACACGTATCATAGCTCGCATGCATGCGATACCCCCCCCCCCCTGTAAATAATGCTTGGGTCCTTAGCCAAGTGGCATGGAGCATCAGTATGTCTCATCAGTAGGGATGGGCTGATCCACATTTTTTAAGTTCCAATCTGATTCCGATGCCATACTGATACAGAGTACAGTATAATAGCTTTTTTCTTTATAGGTGCACAGATCCAGCTTTTTCAGTGCCGCTACGATTTTGATACCTGAGCAGAGGATATCAGCTGATTTGAGTACCGATCTGATACCGGAGCTCTTTTTTTTTTTTTTTTTTTTTTAACTAGCAAATACAAATGAGAAAAATGTATGCCAAAAATTTTAATTGGGCTATAGAGACATGCGTAACGTACTGTACCACCTCGTTAGTGCATCTTGTTTCACGTCTTGTTTTAAGCATTTTTGAGGCATTTGCAGTTCGGTTTGAATATCTTGAACACAATAGCGACCTCTACTCATTACCATAAACTCCCCCATCACCCTGTTTGGAACCACGATTGGGTTACTTAAGCACATCCGAGACAGAATGTATCGCAGAACGGTGGTGAATCTCTGCAGTCCCTGCTGAGTGCCGGGACACGGCCCGTGGGGGTGGAGGGCAGCTCTGCGGGGCATGCCATGTCCTGGCAGCGCCCGGCGGCCTGCTGACCGCTCAGAGGGAGGCTCCAGCGCAGCAGGCCTGTTATGCGGCGGCAGACCATGCTGAATTATTCAGGTCTTGATGCTGCTGTGCGAGGCTGGAGGAAAGACCCGAGCTGCGGAATAGCAGTTCAGGCCAACGCCCTAGCAGATCAGGGTGGGCTGGGCACCTTGTACGTGCTTCAAAATTGTATTGGGGTTCTGTCTGATGTACATTGAAATCTAACACCATCTGGATGTCACTTTTTCAGCATGTTGTCACTTTAGCACCATCAGCTTCAGCCTTCCTGGCAGCTGTAGCTGTGATCTTCTAGCCATTAATTCAGTCGCAGAGCTGGACAACCTTCCCACTGGTGCCCCTGAGGTTGTGTCCTTACCTACAGATGCTGCCTTCATCTTCAGAGACCCACGTTGCTGCAAAGGCCTTCAGAGCTGTGGTACATGGAGATGGAAGATCAGATGCTTGAGAATCACTTGACGGCTCTGATCAGTGTTCCTTGTCACCTCTTGTTTATATCTGTGTTCCTCCTTCCTGTGGATGTGCCGTTTGGTTTCTTGGGTATCTGACAAGAGACCAGCCTGAAAGTGGCTCCCGCGAGCTCGTTGGGCTCGGTCAGCTGACCCCGGACTTCACACTTCACACAAGAAGTTGAAGTATTTCCCCCATCACTCATGACTCCCCTCCCTTAGAAATGGTAGAGGCCCAAGATATGTGTGCAAATCCCTCCTGTCACTTTAACATTGGACCAGCCATTGTTGGCTACCATGTAGGTCCTAGATGTGAAGTAGTTCAACTTATCCATCCATCTATTGCCTACATGGTGCATAATCGAACTTGTGATCTCACCAGTGTGACCCCCCCCCCCTCCACTCTGTGGCCTTCATTAATGCAGACTGTTCTTAATAGGGCATTGTTTTGGACGTAGCTTATGTTCCCCCCGGACAATGGCGCGTTTTTGAATGACCCAGTCCGACACTGATGGTACGCACTGGTCATGTGTCACCCCAGGGTGTGGGTAGGAAGTGCATGGTGGCAGGTGGCCAAGGCACAAGCTGTACAGTGCCCCCCGAACTGCACTCTATTCACGCGCCCACCTCCATCTTTTAAGTCGATTTAATTTGTGGCCGTCTTGCTCCGTGTTGAATTCCCTTGCTGTATCAATGCCCCCTCCCCCTATGCCCTGGAAAGAATTTGTCGGGCTGTACTGGTTTTTTAGTGCTGCTTTGAAGGAGCAAAGGGTTTTTTTTTTTTATTTAAAAAAAAAAAAAAAGCTCGATCTGCTACATTCTGTCTCTTCTATGCAAGCAGTCGCTTCCCTTATCTGTTCCTCTGATAAAAGTCTGTCCCAGTGTCAGGATGTGCAAGAAACGTGACTATTTAATAGTGCATCTCATGATGATGATGATGATGATGATTTGTTATTATGAGGTGAGTCATAGCTTGTGGAATCTGCTATTAGTTAGCGGTCACAGTTGGTTGCTTGGTGTGGGTTTGGTGGCATGTGGGGAGACCCCCAGGTACCCAAAGTAACACCCCCCCTTTACTAATTTGCAGGCACAGCAGCCATCGCAGGCCCTTTGCGGTGGTCTTTGTACGTAGTGCCGTTCTGGGCCACCCGTTGCACCAAATCACGATCGGCGGAGAGTGCACAAAAGACAGGTGATGCCTCCCGTGTAACCAAGTCCTTCCTAGGGATGCCAGTACTTTCCATGTCATATGAGAACGGGAGACAGGCTCGTCCCCTCGTCCCCTATCGGTCCCCGTGCCTGAGCCGCGCTTGTGCAAGACTCACTCCCTGTTCTCACTCTTGCCGACCACACTTCTGTTTTTTGGTGCTATCTGATTTACCACCGGAAGAAAAAGGCCCCCATCTGCAAAGTACATGTTTTAGCCTTTCGGGTAATCAAGAGCAAGACAGTGTCAGAGTGAAACAGCACACATTGCATGTGATGTTTATCAGGGTCCTGGAAGGTGCCTGTCACCTAAGCACCATGTTGAAGTAATTGTTTCCCTAATTGAGCTCGTCTTCCCTCGCTCTCTCCCTATTGCTGCATAGGAGGCGGTGCCTTCTGTCATGGTGACCTCTCATGTAAGAGGTTTGTGTGTTTTCTCTCATGATTCTGCTTTGCCCGTCATCACGTTTGTGCCATTGGGCAATTTGGTCTGTGTGTAGCGGTTTGTTGGTCTTTGAGTTTTCAATCTTGGTTGGTTAGTTTTGTCCTGAAAGTGTAACATTATTTTCCCCCCCTCCCTGTTTTAATCCGAATCGTGACTTACCACAGCAGTGTGACCCTGCAGGCCATGTGGAATATCTCTGCTTTCTAGTGTCTCAGTCTGACTGCTAAATTTAACAAATGACCTCGACCAACCGCAGAATGGATGCGTGACTGCAGCAAAATATTTGTACTTTTACTGTGTGTGTGTGTGTGTGTGTGTGTGTGTGTAACTGAATCTCCCACCCCA